ACACGGGCGGTTTCGAAAACCGTCCAGGGGAGGGGGGAATGCACCTAGCAAGCTGGCTAATGCCAGTGGGCCTCTAGGCCCAGGTGCGTATAATTTAGTTGTTGAACGTGAAATAAATATTGGACAATCATAGATTCGCATTTTTTTATACAGTTACATATGTTTTAATACATTTAAATTTAATAACTACAGATAAAAAGGTTAAAACTTTATTTTAACCTTTTTACTTCAATAAAAACAAAAAGCTCTTTTTTAGTTTTTTAACTTAAGAAAACTCATTTTAATTCCTAAAACTTGCTTTCTTATCCCTTTTTAATCTTTATGTTATCTTGTTACAAGCGTGATATATTAAATGACAAAATTTTTAAAATAGAAGTACTAAAAAGAGACTAAAAAAAGCCTTTTTTTTGTAACACTACTTTAACTAAACAAACACTTTTTAGTCCATCTATTTTAGAATTTCTGTTATTTAATGTACTATTTGTGTAAAAAAATAGCAAAAAAACTAAAAGAAAGGACTAAAAAAGAGTTTTCTTAAATAGAAAGACTAAAAAAAAAAAGTTTTTACTAACGTAGAGGGATGAAAATAGAATTTTAACCTAACTAGTAATCAACAATTGACTCAGAATATAATTCAAAATAAATTACAGAGGATAACAATCCAACATAAATTAGACAAGGGACCAAATTTTCAGAAAAGAGGGAGCCCCAACATGTACAACAAAAATATGCCAGTCACAATACCATTGATCAAAATATGAGATACTGTTAGTATGAGAAGTAAAAAGGGTACAATAGCAAACATAATAAGTACCACATAAACTGCTTTCAAAACTATACCTAAAAGAAATTCATGTTATAGGTGCAGTGACATAGTCACTAGTAATGTGAAATTCAACCAGTGGGACTTGAACATAGTCCCACCAACCCTTTCTCCATTTCTCCTTCACCCCTACTCCCTTTAATTGTAACAAATTACCTATGTTCAAAAAAAAAAAACAAAACATTTACCTGAAAGATTCCCACTCTCATAATCTCTCTCCACATCATTACTGTTTTCCTGTGACAACATTGAGATTCTCCTTACCCTACAGATGCACTCCACGGACAAACACAATCTTAGAGAGGTTTTTCACTCACATAGCAGGTGGAAGTACACATGCATCACATCATATATAACACGGTTCCTTTGTGTTCTGCCTTGCTCTCATCACATGTGCTCCATTCCTTCCTCCTCCCCGTATTCACCTTCCTCGTCATCAGTAGCATCCTGGTATTGTTGATATTCAGACATAAGATCATTCATGTTGCTCTCAGCTTCTGTGAACTCCATCTCGATCATCCATACCTTCACCAGTATACCAGTGCAAGAAAGCTTTTCTCCTAAACATGGCAGTGAACTGTTCACTTACTATCCTAAACATTTCCTGGATGGAGTTTGAGTTCCAAATAAAAGTGGATACCATCGGGAGCCATCTTGGTGGAATATCGCAGATGCTAGATTTGACAATGTTTGTAATCCACTCAACAAATTAGGAAGAATTCTTTTCCTGGACATTAATCATTTGCTCATTCAATTCTTTGGTGCTCATCATCATGCTCCTAAAAGTAGCTGAAGCAGAGAAGTGGCGACCGTGTCTTGGGTCTGCAGCACACATATTATTCTTTGCATCCCATATTTGCTGGGTTAGTTCTGGGACAGGCAGGGCATGGTACTGCTGGGATCCACAGGATGTCAGAGGAGCTAACCCAACATGTATTAAACAACTCACCAAGTACTGCATTTTATTTGGATACTAATGGGTACACTTGGTTCAAACACATTGTCCAACACACTAATTCAAAAATCAATATTTTTTTTATTTAAAATTAAAAACAGACACAGAGTTTTTTACCAATCATTTTTCATTTTATTTATTACTTATTTACTTTTTTTAACTTCTATCAAATGCCACTAGATGTTTTAATCTAGAGTTGCATATGTTTCTAGGGCCGATTACATTTTCAATGCATACTTCAGACACTAAAATCACTAACATACTCTTGATGGAATTATTTATTATATTTAATCATTAATGGTAATTTAGTAATTTTAGTACTTAAATTGCGTATTAAAAATGTGCAATACATACTAAAAAACATGAAACTCTAGATTAAAACATCCAGTGGCATTGGATCCAAGTCAAAAAAAAAAAAAAAAAAAAAAAA